TGTCTAGGGGACAATGACTCACATGACAGAGGATCACAAACCAGAGAGGCCAGAAGACAGAGGAAGGACAGCTTTTAAGAGCTGAAAGGAAAGAGCTGTTGATTCAGAATCCTATATCCAGAGAAAAGAAGCCTCAGAAATGAAGGTGAAATAAAGACATGCTCAGGTGAGGGAAAAGTAAGAGAATTCGTTGCCAGCAGAGCTGTCCTATATAATAAAAGGGGAATATGCAAATTGACCCTAACAGCAGAACGACCCCCGGACCAGTCTCTATGAGGCGCACTGACCACCTCTTGGTCCCTTCCCCCAGCCATCAGGCTCCGATCACCCGATGGTGAACAGGGAACCGGGATGGGTGGTGGTAGGGGGGTGGGGCCAGCTGCAGGCAGCTAGGGAAGATGGTTCTGATCGCAGACCAGGCCTAGGGACCATACCCGCGCACGAATTTCGTGTGCCAGGCCTCTAGTTTTAAAAGAAATGCTCAAGGGAGCCCTACAGGCTGAAGTGAACTGATACCAGAGGGAAACTCGGAACTTGAGGAACGAAGGAAGGGCAACAGAAATGGTAAATAACTCAGTAAACCTAACAGACTCTTTTCTTTCTCCTCTTAAGTTTTTAAAATAATGTCTAAAGCAAAGATGGTGACATTAATAGTGTCCTCTATAGATTTAGGAATAATACAGTTATGACAAAACAGAAACAGGAGGAGAGTAAAAGGATTTATATGGTTGTAAGGCTTCTGTGTTTTACTATAAAGTGGTAAAAGAGTAACTTGACTGTGAAAGCTTAGAAATGTATATTGTAATCTCTAGAACTGTCACTCAAAATATAATACAAAGAAATATAACCAAAAAGCCAACAGATACATTAAGATGAATACTTAAAAAATTCAAGTAACTCAAAGAAGACAGAAAAGAGTGAACATAAACAGAAAACAAATACTAAAACGATAGTCCTAAATCCAACCATACCCAAAATTACATTAAATGTAAATGATCTAAACACACCAATTAAAAAACAGAGATTGTCAGATTGGATAAAAAAAGAAGAGCCAAATATTAGATTTAAAAAAAGGACCCAAGCTATCTACATATAATAACATAGGTTAAAAAGGCAAATACAATAAAATGATAAAACCAGGTGGTAGGTACCCATGAGTTAATTATATTACTTGTTATTATACTCAATATATTTGAAATTGTTATAATTATCCTATCTAATAATAGACAAACATGGTAATTGACCATACCTTTGCTATACCTCCCATTGGCTAATCAGCGAGATATGCAAATTAACCGCCAACGAAGATGGCGGTTAATTTGCATACTGCAGGCAGGGCGGGACAGTGCCATCCTGCCTGCCCTGCACCATCTGGGCCCTGCTATCTGCGATCCTGGGCGGGGTGGGGGGAGGGTCCCATGTGCGACCGGACCCGGGGCGGCCGGGTGGGGCAGCAGCGATCCGCCGGGCCACCCGGGCGTCCCGTGTGTGACCGGGGGCGGCGCCCCAACCCCCCGATCGGCCCTGCCCTGTACACGACCCGGGGGTGGCACCCCAACCCCCGGATCGGCTCTGCCCTGTGCGCGACCCGGGGAGGTGGGGCAGGGCACCTAGGGATCGGCCTGCCATCTGCCACCCGGGGAGCGGGCCTAAGCCAGCAGGTGGTTATCTCCCAAGGGGTCCCAGACTGTGAGAGGGCACAAGTGGGGCTGAGGGACACCTCACCCACCCCCCCACCCCTGCCAGTGCACAAATTTTTGTGCACCGGGCCTCTAGTTATTAATAATAATAAAAGGAGGTTGGAAAAAGAAAATTTCTCCAAAAACCTCCCATAATTTCCTTTTGCACCTGAAGTAAAATCATATAAGATCTTAAGATGCCTGGCCCCTCAAGTCCCCTATATAACTAGACAGTGTGGGAGCCAGGGACAAGATCAGGAATCAGGCGGCCAGACTTCAAGTTTTACTGCTTCCCTGTTGAGCATGGTCAAAGAACTTACCCTCTTTCAACCTCAGAAGGCTTCAACTGTCAAACAGACATAACAGTACTTAACCCTAGGGGTTTATTTTGAGAATTAAAGGAGATCATGTGGAAAAAACACTCGTTACTTGGCACATGCCTCACATTTATTTTATTTTATACTAGAGGCCCGGTGCACAAAATCCGTGCATGGGTGCGATCCCTAGGCCTGGCCGGCGATCGAAGCACGAGCATCTGGAGTGGAAGGGCAGGTCCCAGCTGACCTTTGGCCCTGGGCAGCACCTGGACCCCCGCATGCCCCTCTCTGCCTGAGTCACAGAGCCCGAGTCCCCACACGGAGATGCGGTGAGTGCGGCTGGACGCCATGGGCTGGGGTGCAGCGTGGGCCTCTGGGCCACCCAGCGGGGCCACATGGAAGCCTGGTGGGCAGCGTGTTCTCTCCCGGCTGGCCGGCCTTGCAGACCGGCTCCTGTGTGAACCCATGGGGAGCCCGACGGCCCCTGCAGTCCCGGCGGCTGCGGCCCAGCTCACCTGGAAGAGGCCACGCGGGTGCCGGGTGGGTTCCTCATGGGCGCCTGGCACCTGAGCATGGGGGCTTCCCCGGTGCATGAGCCCTGGCATCCTGGGGGAGGGTAGCAGCGGGAGAAAGCCCCCGTCCCCAGGTAGCTGGTCAGAGGTCAGGGCGCATCGCCTACGCCTGCCATGTTCCGCACCACCCCCTTGGTGGTCAGCGAGTGGTAGAACTCCCTGTCTCCAGGTCGAACAACCGCCTGAGGGGACAATTTTTATATTGGGCTTTTATTATATAGGATACTTTTTATTGTTGATAGTATTACAGATATCTCCCATTTCCACCCCCATTTCCTCCTCCTCCCAGCCCCTACCCACCCCCATGCCTCACATTTAAATATATACTGGTATATATATTTGTATTGATTTTAGAGAGGAATGGAGAGGGAGAGAGAGAGAGAGAAACATCAGTGATGAGAAAGAATCATTGATCAGATGCCTCATGCACACCCCCCTACTGCAGATTGAGCCCTCAACCCAGGCATGTGCCCTTGACCAGAATCTAACCCTTGACTCTTCAGTCCACAGGCCGACACTCTATCCACTGAGTCAAACCGGCTAGGGCATGCCTCACATTTTATATGCTCAGAATAAACGCTACTGATTTCGGCTGTGGGGAGGGGCCTGGTGGGGCCACCGGGCTTGCTTGTAGACGGTCAGGCGTAGCGGCTGCAAGGAAGAGATTGCCAAGTACATGCCTTAGCAAGATGGGAATCGCTCTCTTCCAATCCTGTAACAGCCCAGAGGTCACCCCTCCGGCCTGGCGGGTCAGCTCTCTGTCCTCAATATGTTTTACATCTCTGTGCTCAAGGAGATGGTCCGTTCTCGTCCTCTCCTTCCAAGCAGAAAGGGGGAAGGAGATTGGGGGTGGGGAGAGGGTTATGCTCTAATTCTTTGAGGGGCAAGATCAAGATGTAAGCCCCATCACTTCTGCTAACATTACCTAGTCACATGACCACACCCGTGCAAGGCAGGCTGGGAAATGTAGTCTTCGTCAGATGGCCATGTTGCCCGCTAAAACGTTGCGCTGTGGAAGAACAGAACTCGGGGGGCAACCAGCAGCCTCCTGTCACTGCCACGGACCTCAGAGAAGGGCAGGCGTGAGAGTTGCTTCTCCAAAGGGCCCTTTGCCAGATTCCCACAGCAGCAAAGCGTTCGCAGAGCCAAGCTCCCCACGAACCGGAGGGGGTTTAGGAAATGATTCAGGCAGCCTGGCTGACTCAGGCGTGGAGCGTCCTGGAGAGAGAAGTGGCCACACAGGCCTCTGGGGCTGGGGGCTTAGTTAATAATAATGATGATGACTTTGGCCCAGAGAGCTTCCTGAGGCTGATGAATGACTGGCGGGTCGCCGCCCGCGGTCTATCAGCGCCTCCCAGCCTCACATCCACCCACAGGAAGTCCCTGGTACGCCCGCCTATTACTGCCTGAGTCTCACAAAGTGAAAATGAATGGGCGCTTCAGTGGAACTTGGAGGAAAACGCGGTGACCATTGTGTGTGGCCACCGGGCCATCATGGTTTTTTTCCAGGCACATTTCCTGCGTTTTCTTTGGTTCTCTTTCTGGCTTCCCTCTGCTCACGGCGGTGCGGGCAGCGCAGCTGGCCCTGAAGATTAGCTCTAATCCCCTGGCTATTTATAGCCGCTCTGTCACCATGCATGTGATTCCCTGTTTAAATGTGTCCTCCCAGCCCAGCCAGTGTGGCTCAGTGGTTGAGCTTCAACCTATGAACCAGGAGGTCATGGTTCGATTCCCGGTCAGGGCACATGCCTGGGTTTCGGGCTCTATCCCCAGTGTGGGGTGTGCAGGAGGCAGCTGATTGATGACTCTCTCTCATATTTGATGTTACTCTCTCTCTCTTTCCCTCTCCCTTTCTCTCTCTGAGTTCAATAAAAATATATATTAAAGCCCTAGCCAGTTTGGCTCAGTGGATAGAGCATTGGCCTGCAGACTAAAGGGTCCCGGGTTCGATTCCGGTCAGGGGCACATGCCCGGGTTGCAGGCTCAATCCCCAATAGGGGGCATGTAGGAGGCAGCCAATCAATGATTCTCTCTCATCATTGATGTTTCTTTCTCTCTCTCCCTCTCCCTTCTTTCTGAAATCAATAAAAAAAATATATTTAAAAAAAATTTGATCAGTTTCCCAAGAGAACAGCTGGAAGCAGAAAGGCAGGTGTAGACGTGGTTGTAGAGAGGAGTCTAACAGCGTTGACCTGTGGGCAGTGGAGAGAACCCGGGGCGGGCTCGGGTCACCGGGGCCTCCTTGCCTGCGAGGCCTCCCACTGCTCGCCTGGCCCCAGCTCTGGGCCAGTAGATGTAATTGGTGAAATAAGCATGTTTTCCTCAGCCACGAGCCCTGCTCCAGGGAACTGGCGTTTATCGATGGCTCCAGATTTGCTGTCCTGCTACTTACACTCCTCCCTTCTTGTCTGGCTTGTGATTGGCATCTGGGAGGACTTGCCAAGCGAAAGGTACAAGCCCTGCGCCAGGATCTCCCCAGCGCCTCTCGTCCCTGCGGCTTAGTGAGCCGAGGGCGCCCGGCATCGGCAGGACCCTGCCTCGTGGAGGTGGCACCTGGGCCATCAGAAACCTTCCACCTGATTCTACACGGGACCCCCAGGTGGGCTTCAGACAGCACCCCACCCCCCCGAATTAAAACAAGTGGAGGGACAGCTAGAAAACGCCCTGCAACCAGGAAGGTGTTGGCGGCTGCTACACCAGGGCGGAGGTGGAGATAGAGAAACGGAAGCCTGGCCGGGGAGCAGGTAGGTGGGAGCGGGATTAAGGACTTAGAAATGCTCGCTTCCTCCTGTTGTCCCTATGAGAGCTGATAAGGGCAGTTCAGGGTTTTGGGGGGAGACGTGGAAAAGAATGAGGGACTTTAATCACCAGGGACCTTTCCAGCTTCCGGTTCCCCAGAGGTCCCCCCCCCGGCACCATTTGCCTCCAGAAGTTCAAGGGTGCCAAAGGCAGGGGAGGGAGCCCGGGAAATGGAGCCCCGGGAAGGACGCTGTGACCCGCCGCTGTCTCTGGGCGGGGCCTTCTGCTTTCCCCTCTTTTCAGCCCAGGGCAGGATGGAGCTGCGATGGCTCAGGTAGACCCGAGGCTTCATGTCCGAGCAGCATGCTTGACCCAGACATGTATGTGCACATACGCATAGCGATCATTAAAACTAGGCGAGGCGGTAGGGGATAGCAAGGTTTTCATACGTGAAAACCAGCGACTAGCTGAGCACACACAGACCTTCCTGCTAAGTGACTGTCTCAGAAGATGGAGCAGGAAGTCATGGCCTCTTGGAGCTCTGAGAGCCGAGCACACACACACACACCTTACCTAACCTGTTTCCGGGTGACTTTGCCCCTAACTGCGCCCCGAAGAGCAGTGTGGTCTAAGGGAAGGAATGGAGGCTGGAAGCCAAGGGTCACGTGGATTCCAGGTCCGCTGTCCCGCCGGCGGTGAGGCGAGTCGAAGGAGCTCTGGGCCCTCGTTCGTTCCTTCCCATCGCGGCTCCACTGTCACCACACGCTGGCCGGCCCTCGAGTAGCGTGGTTTGCTGAGCGTCACTTTGTTGTGTGTTGATGAGGGAACAGCGGGTCCCGGTCAGGCCGTCTGCGTGCAGCTGGTGGTGCCCCTGGTCTCCGGACTCAGAGCTGCACGTGGGCGGAGCTGGTGTGTCCATTGTCCCGCCCGAGTGAGTGTGGGCGTGGGAGAGTGGCCCTGAGATGGGAGGGCGGCCTGTGCAGGGGGGTCCCCCCTTGCACCCCAAGTCCCTGGGACCGGCTCCTGCCACCTGAGATCCTGCAGTGGAATAAGTGGGTTGAGAATCATTCTCTTACTTGTTCTAGTTCATCTTTCTTAAATGTCTGTGCGGCTCACACTTACCGCCCGTGTGATGGCGGGTGGGTATGTGCGGCTCACACTTACTGTCCGTGTGACGGTGGGTGCGTATGTGCGGCTCACGCTTACCGCCCGTGTGACGGCGGGTGGGTATGTGTGGCTCACACTTACCACCCGTGTGACAGCGGGTGTGTCTGTGCGGCTCACACTTACCACCCGTGTGATGGCGGGTGGGTATGTGCAGCTCACACTTACCACCCGTGTGACGGCGGGTGGGTATGTGCAGGCTCACGCTTCATGCCCCTGTGACGGCGGGCGCATTTTGGGCCTTTGTTTAGGAGTTTGGTGGCGCTTTGACCAGAGAGACGCCGCAGGAACCTGGCCCTCGTTGACCTCAATGACCTCTGGCCCAGCTGCGTCTGTGATACGTCGTTTCACTTACAGTCAGTTTCCAAGGCCGATCAAGAGTCACGACGCATCTGTAGCACGAACATCGCCTCCTCGTCCTTGAGCAGAGCTGACACACCTGGCAGTCCCGACGGCACCAGGAGAGGACAGACAGCTGCTGCCCGCTCCCCAGGAGGCCGCGCGGCTGGTGCCCAGGGCCTTACTCTGCACGCACTCCCTCTTCCCAGAGCATCTTCTTATCCTGGGAAGTGAGCAATCCCGGCTTCCTGGGGGCTGGGGGGGCATGGCCTCCCTCTGTCCGGGGAGAGTGCCCAGTGCCCAGTGCCTGGGGTGGGAAGTAAACTGGACCCCACCTCGGAGGGCGGGGAGGGAGGAGCTCCCGGCTGGTCTCTGAGGGCAGCTCCGGGCAGGAGAAGCCAGGAGACGGCCGGGCCCAGAGAGGGGCTCCCCGAGGAGCACTACCCCCATGTCCAGCCTCAGGATGAGGACTTGCCGCCGGGCTTGCTCCTGCGCCGGTGGACCCACCTCGGAGGGTGGTGCAGCCGCCATTTGCTTACCTGCCTGCCCCCTCGGTGCCCTCGGTCGCTGGGAGCGAGAGGCCGGAGGCGGTGATCACACTCACCCGTGTGGCTCTCCTCTCCTTTCCAGCGGCTTCCGGAGACTTCCTCCTCCATCCTGCTCACCACAAGTGGGTGAGATGTAACCACAGGCGCCAGGCCCAGAGCGGCGGGTGACGTCTCAGATCACACAGCACGGCTCTGCTCAGGGATGGAGGGTCTGTCCTGAAGACAGTGTTTCTCGTCCGCCAGAGCCTCCTGTTGAGGTGCGGTGTGTCAGCCTTCCCAGTGTGCTCAGGACCCCGATTTCCAATTCTAAGACTGGGTATAGCCCGGCCGCATGGCTCAGTGGTTGAGCATCTACCTATGAACCAGGAGGTCACAGTTTGATTCCCGGTCAGGGCACATGCCCGGGTTGTGGGCTCGATCCCCAGTGTGGGGTGTGCAGGAGGCAGCCGATCCATGATTCTCTCTCATCATTGATGTTTCTCTCTCTCTCTCTCTCTCTCTCTCTCTCTCTCTCTCTCTCCCTTTCTCTCTGAAATCAATAAATATATTTAAAAATAAATCTATAATAGTAACAGGGTAATATGCTAATTAGACCGAACGTCTCTGAACGTCATTCTGGACGTCCTTCCTGACGAAGTAGGGGCAAGAGGGAAGCCAGCCGGGATCCCGGGTGCCTGTGGGCATCCAGAGGAGGGAAGCCCGGGTCCCAGGTGCCAGAGGGAAGCTGGTGCTGGCAGCCGTGGGAAGGAAGGCCTACTCTTGCACGAATTTTCATGCATTGGGCCTCTAGTAAAGAAATAAAAATGAAACTGGGTACATGCTGGCCAACTGGGGCAAGCGGGTCACCGTGGGCCCCCCACCTGTGCAGAGGGGACGTGGGGAGCGGCCGTGCGGGGCCTGCGTCTCCAGCAGCCTCGGGCCCTTGTCCACCTGGGAAAACTCAAGGCCTTCAAGCATTAAACACAATGCAGGGAGCTGGTGGGAGGACTCAGATGCCAAACCATGACAAACACCCAGAGATGAACAATAGCAGACGCCGTGGCCGCCCCTTGGCCGCAGAGACAAAGGGAAGGGGTAGAGCTGTGGGATGCAGAGGCCGGAAACTGCAGGCAGGAAAGCCTAGCCTCAGGCAGAGGGGCCGCCGCTGGCTCCTCCCTGCCCCTCGCCCTCGGGCTCCCACCAGGACTTTCTCCTCTTTTGGACCCTCTGGGGGTGGGCACTGTAAGCCAGTGCTGGGCTCACCCACCAGGGGGAGGGCTCCCTCCCTGGTCCGTGCAGGGAGCTCTGGGCTCCCTCACACGGTGGCCTCAGTGCTGACACAGGCGTGGACTCATCCCCTGACATCAGCTCCCTCGATCAGAGCTCAGCATCATCAGACATGTGAGCCGAATGGGAGCTCCCAGATCATCTGCTCAGAGAGGAACAGAGCCCGGCTGCTGACGGAGGGATGGGGGTGCCGGCGCCAGGACCAGGACAGGGTCCGCCTCTGAGCTCAGGGCCCTGGGCCGGAGGCTGCAGTCCCACTGCATTGGTGCTGAGCGGGGACCAGACCCCGCCCTCCCGTAGTGACAGGCGGACAGGAGCCCCAGACACCTGCAGTTGCTTATTGATGAGAAAGCAACTTCCGCAGGAAAGCGAGTGTGTCCTCCAGTCTCACCCACCTCTGTGCAGAGCTGTGCCCGGAGGGGACACCAAGAAGCCAAGCCTTCATTTCACGGAATAATGGGATTTAGATGAATTTAAAAATTTTCTATTTTGTTCCTCAGTCACATGATGTTGCTTTAATAGACTGTATGTATCATCCTATAGAATAAAGAGCTAATATGCTAATTAGACCGACCAGCAGAACGACCTTCTGACGTCTTTTCGGACAACCTTCCGGACGAAGCCAGGCTGTGAGGGCCGAGCCCCTTGCAGAATTCGTGCATTGGGCTCTAGTCTGTATAATATGTAGGTTATTCACCAATACTTAGTGTGTCCCTACCATTCAGACTTCCGCAGCGTTTACTGGGTGCTTAGTATCCAGCGTGTCTCTCCTCTGTCCTC